CTCGACGACCATTGGGGCTGTCTCCGATTCTCGAGCTGAAGGCCCTCTTCTCAAAGGTTGCTGGCTGTGCCTTGGAGCCTCGAGCTGAAACCTCGTTCTGCTGCATCACAGGTCGCTACGAGGGCTGAAGGCCCGTGTTCTATGTCCGCTCTGCTGCCTCCCGATGCGCCTTGGGCTTTCGCGCTGAAGGCTCGCTCAGAGCGAGTATCTCGAGCTGAAGGCTCGTCACTTCCGCGACTGTCCGACTGGGGGCGGGTGTCTGACGAAAGTCTTCGGAATTCCAGGAGTGTCCAGGGAGATGACTGCCCGATGCATCGCCCTCGGCTCCGAGCGGCCCGCTTGGGGCGTCCCAGGCTGCGGGGTCGGTCAAGGCTGCTGTCTCTCTGGGAGCTCCTCGGGCTGAAGGCCCATTCTCTGCGTGTGCGATGCTGTCAACTCCAGGAAGGGCGGCAGGCGCGCGGCGACTCTCGACGCCACTCGTGCCCGCCCGCCCGGCAGCACTCCAGAGGACCGCCGGTGCCGTCTCCGAATTTCGAGCTGAAGGCTCGTCGCCTCTGAGGTTGCTGGATGTGCCTTGGAGTCTCGAGCTGAAGGCTCGCTCTGCTGCATTACTGGCCGCTCCAAGGGCTGAGGGCCCATCATCTACACCCATTCTGCTGCATCCCGCTAGTGTCCAGGGAGTTGACTGGTCGCTTCATCGACCACGGCGCTGAGGCGTCCGCTTGGGGCGTCCCAGGCTGCTGGGCCGATCAAAGCTGCTGTCTCGCTGGGAGCTCTCGGGGACGTGGGCGGAATGCGCTCGGTCCGGCACGTCCTTTCTGAAGCAGAGATGGGGGTGGGGGTACGCGAAGCGTGAAAAACTTCGATTATACGCTCTGTGGAATTGGTCTGCAGTTGTGTAAGCTCCTCACGTGGAACACCTCCACTATCCAACGCAATTTTGCCTGTTGGCTATGCGCCTTGAAGGAGCATTGGCTCGAGGACATGTCATGCGCGCTTCCTCAACCATCTGCAAATTGTGAAATGCATGTCCCTGTTGGCGGGTTGCATACTCACTGGGCGGAAGTTCGGAGTGAACATTGAAAGCGTGCGCCAATCTTGGGAGAAAGAGCTGACATTTGCTCCGAGCACTGGTGGAATGCATACGAACTGGTGCCAGCACGTTCGTCTGTTGGCCGAGTTTGGTGGCAGGTTGGAATCGCCTCACTGTTAAGCCACAGCGCCCCCCAGTTCAAGGGTGTGAGGCCATGGAGCTTGGATCGCATAAGCACGGACTTGATGAGACTGGGCTGAAACGTAACTTAGCCGAAGCTGGACATGAAAGCGCGGCTCCAAGTCCTGAGTCGAAATGCCTTGAGCCCAACTGGTATGAAACGGCTACTGAGCAGGGGGAAGGGCGGGAGGAGGAGGAGGAGGATGCAGCAGCAAAAGTAAGCAGCGCAAGCAGCAACGGAAGCGCCAGGAACAACAACCATACGCAACACAGGGAGGCGGCGGCGAGCGTGCGGCGGGCAGACTCGAAGCGGGGAGGCTGCCGTGACTTCGACTGCTCGCGGCTCATCGCGAGGCCTGCCGCGTGGGCGCTTCCTCCTGCTGCTTCTCCTCCTCCCCCTCCTCCTCCCCCTCCTCCTCATCCTCCTCCATGTTCTTCCCCCCCCCCCCGCGTCCCGCTCCCTCTTCCCCCTCCTGTCCCAACCTATGCTGCTGCTCTTCCTCCTCTTCCCCCTCCTCCCTGCCTCCTCCTCCTCCTCACGTTCCCCCTCCTGGGCACTCGTCCTGCTTTTCTCTGCACCTCCTCCTCCGCCTCTCCTCCTCCTCCTCCTCCTCCTCCTCCTCCTCCTCCTCCTCCTCCTCCTCCTCCTCCTCTGTTTTGCCTCTTGCACCGTGGCTTAATGCGGCTAGCTTTGCATCTACTACCATCCGATCTCCAGGCGCCCACAGGATAAACGACGTTGCACCTGCACACCTGGCCATACATAGAAATGATGTTTAATGATTGCATTCCAAACTTGTTGTCAATACGCTGCGAAACGGGGAAACAAATGTGACAATATGGTTTACGTACGTACGCGTGGGAATCCGCCGAACCCTGCCTACCAGGAGTGGGAAGTCGTGTGAGATGACTCGCTATCCCTCTCCCCAGGGGCCAAAATGTCGTCTGAGGTGGGAGGGGGACACGAATCTGCTCAACGCACCTCCTGGGCATCCAAATCCACCGTCCGACGTCCCCACAATACCCCAAAAACATGCCCTCCATGAGGGCTCCAGACGAGCACCTACACGGCCAATGGGTCCCAAGATGATTGCCACAAGAGTCTTCCAAGGATACCCCCAGAGAGGCCAACATCTGTATAAACGAACATGTGTTGGCTTATTGTGTGATGACGGCTTGTGTGTTTCGTCTTCTGGTTACTATTTGCTGATGGGCTCCTGGTACCTCAAGATGGATCCACGATTGCCCAGTAGAGCCCTAAGAGTGGTTCAAAAAATCGCTCCAAGACGACCCCAAAGGTATCCCAACATGCTCTAAGAGTGTTTCAAGAGGGCCCGACGAGGTCGATTGTGAGTCTCTAAACAGAGAGGGGCCCAATTCAGAACCATTCCTTGAATGGATCGATGGCCTCCAGGATGGTCCCGAGAGGGCCCCCACAGCCCCCAAGAAGGCCTCAAAAATCTCCAGGAGAGCCCCAGGACGGGCAACACTGGGACCCTGGGAGGCTCCTAAAGCTCTCCAAGATCTACTCCCCTGAGTCCGGCTGATGGCCTGGGCTGGAGGAACAAACCATGACATGATCAACAACTCTGAGGTCTGCGCGGATTTCTCGAGTCGGCGCTGGACCCCCCTTCCATGGCGCGCCGAGCGGGTCAACGGTGGCGCTGGAAATTGCGCAGGATGGGCCTCCGCGCCGATCCGAGGAATCCCTGCGGAGCTACGAATTTGCATGTTTATGTCACAGTTTGTTCCCCGATGGGCGTCAATTCTGGATGGGCTGCCAAGGATACGGGGAGCGGAACGCTGGGCCTCCTCATCCTCATCCTCATCCTCCTCCTCCTCCTCGTCCTCGTCCTCGTCCTCGGCCTCGTCCTCCTCCTCCTCCTCCTCCTCCTCCTCCTCCTCCTTCTCCTCTTCCTCCTCCTCCTCCTCCTCCTCCTCCTCCTCCCCTCCTCCTCCTCCTCCCCTCCTCACCTCCTCCTCCTCCTCCCTCCTCCTCCTCCTCCTCCTCCTCCTATCCTCCTGCCCCCCTCCTCTCTTCCCTCCTCCCCTCCCTCCTCCCTTCTCCTCCTCCTCCTCCTCCTCCTCCTCGCCCTCCTCCTGGGATAGCATTCGCCAGCCCGCTTTCGAAGTCTGGCGAGATGGCGTATAAGCCTCTCGAGAGTGCGTGTTCGACGTCGGATGTGACGGGCGAACGCAGGGACAACACGAGCGTCTCGGGGCCTCTCACAGGGCGCCCAACCTGGTCGGAGCCAACGGGCTGCCCCCAAACCCCGTGTTCCCCCCCACAATCCCCAAAGATCGACCTCAACACGGTTTTTCACCTCCTCCTCCTCCGCCTCCTCCTCCTCCACCATCACCACCACCTCCAATTCCCACCCTTCGTGCTCTTCCTCCTCTTCCTCCTCCGCCTCCTCCGCCTCGCGAACAAGGATTACACGAGCGTACCAGGGCCTTCCAGGACGCCCTATCTTGTCAGAACCAGCGGGCTCCCCCCAAACACCGAGGTCTACCCCCCAAATCCCCCAACATCTACGTCAACACCGGTTGCTCTCCTCCTCCTCCTCCTCCGCCTCCTCCTCCTCTGCATCCTACTCCTCCTCCTCTGCATCCTCCTCCACATCCACCTCCTCCTTCCCCCCCTCCTCCACATCCGCCGCCGCCGCCTCCTCCTCCTCCTCCCCCACCTCCTCCGCATCCTCCACCTCCTCCGCATCCTCCGCCTCCTCCTGGTAGAGGAGAAGGAGGAGGCGGAGCCAACCACATTACCACCAACATGGTGAACATATACCAGACATCCCAGCCAACACGCCCGCGTGCGGAACAAGCGGCGGCGGCACTCCGGATACATATGCGGATGGTCGCCAACGTTCCTGGTTACGCAAGGGCCGAGCGCTGGAAGAATGTGTGGCCACGTGCGTGCCCAGCTTCCGCCCATGCCTGCGACATCATGCGTATCTCCAGCTCAAGGAATAATGAGGGGGGAGAGAGAGAGAGAGAGAGAGAGAAATAGAGAGAGAGAGAGAGACCAATACGGGCAGCAGGAAGAAAGCAGAGGGAGAGAGCGGGGTGGGGAAATCTGAGAAAGGAAACTCCTCCTCCTCCTCCTCCTCCTCCTTGTGCTCTTGCTCCTCGTGCGGCCCCTGCTACCCTGAGATCCGATGTGGTGCAAAGCTGCAACATCGGAAGCAAACTCCACCAAAGCCCCAGACCACAACTTTCCGCGGCACTCTTCGAGCTGGATCGATCCGTGAGGAGGCCCTGGGCCCGAAACAGGGCAACATCGCCCGTGGTCGAACCATTGCGACGCCAGGATCTCAGGGTCCCGCTCTGGGAGGGGCTCGGTGTACAGGTCGTTTAGTGGGCCACAAAGCTCGGTGTATAGACGCCCCAGCTGCCCAACTCGAGCGTCTGTACACCGAATCCCTGGCAGATCTCCTGGCCTCCTGGCCGACCAAACGACATGGAGCCCCTCTGATGCTCCTCATGCTGCGTGCCACCCGAGGCCTCCGTCGTCCAGCTGCGCCATCGCGCTCGCCTGCAGCGGCGTCGGCATGCGCTGCATCTGCGGCGTCAACGGTGCCTGCTTCGACGTCGTCGGGGTGCGCCGCTCTTTCGAGGCCCTGCGCGCCCCGGGTGCCGCTGCCGGAGCACCACTGGCCGAGTACGAGGGACAATCTCTGCAACTCTGAAGGTGTGCGCGGGATGAATGAGCTCTCGACGTCGTTTTCCAGGGAGGCCTGCAGCGGAGAAGAAGACCAAGAAGGAGACGGGTGGGAGCCACACGCACACACACATGTATGCATGTATGTGTACTATCTGTATTTACATATATTTTTATATGCACATATTAATAAGTGTGTATATATATGTGCGGATATATCTATATATAGAGAGAGAGAGAGACATATCTCTCTCTATATATATATATATGTACGCACACACGCACACTAAGGTATGCAGGCCTGTGCCCGAAACGTATTGTACACGTTTGCTTGCACGTCTCACGCTCGCAAACCTACCCCGAAGACTGCCTGCAACACTGAGGACGATGGCGGCTGCGATGACAGTTCGGGCGGCTCCTTTTCAAACTGTGGTTCTCGCCTTAGCGCTGCGCACATTCGTGTTAAAATAGTGCAAGAGCTTCACGGACTCCCATGGTTAACGTTAGCGGGCGAAGAACGGTATGCAACAAACTCTTCTGTCGCCGAAGGCGCTGCCCCATGGCGGCCGGAAAATTTAGTCCCTGGCGCGCCACCGTAAGTTTGGACGCCCGAAATGGGTACGGAAAGAATGGGTACAATGCCCAAAAGCAGCTCCTGTTCATTCTGGACAGGACTCGCTGTCGGTGTCGCCGAGGCCTGTGTCCATTTGAAACAGAAGGCCGCCTGCCCAACAGCGGCCGCTGTTGGTTTGGGACAACATTTGTTGTTGGGCATTGTACACATTCTTTCCGTACCCATGTCGGGCGTCCAAAGTAAAGGTATAAACTTTCCCAGCTCCTGTCCCACAGCGGGGAAGATTTGATCGGCATCCTCGGGAAAAAGCAGGTCCCGAAGGAAACGGGCCCTGGACCCGGCGGCCTCTCCCCCCAGGACCAGCTTGCGGGCAGAGTGGCTACGGAACCGGTGCACCCAACCACTGAAATGTCCGTCGAATCTGCAGGAGCAGCGCGCCGAATTTCGACAGATCTGCGAACATTCGCCATCTTGCCCGCCGGCGAGCAGAACCCGTTCTGGGACAAATCGATTGCGTCGTCGATCTCCTGCTCGGAACTTTCCTTTCCATCGTGCTGGCTAGCTCTTTGACTTTCCCGGGGGAGGGCGGGAACCCGGCGACGCCCCGAAGAACTTCAGGGCCCATCTCCCCCAGGGCCCCTTCTCTGCGCGGCGGGGGCGCCGGCGATGGCCCAGCCCCCACGGGGCCTCCACGGCCGGAAAAAGGGGCGGGCTCCCCCCCGCAGCGCTGGCTCCAGAGAGGGGGGTTCGAGGTCGGGGCCGCGGCGATGCGGAGGAGGGAGCGCCCGTAAATCATCGCGGACAGCCGCTGGCACGAGACGTCCGAGCCGAGCTGTCGAGTCAGGCGAGTCTTCTTGGAATTCAACTTCAGAAAGAGAGGATGAGGCGGAAGGGGAGGCAGTGCTGTTGTCTCGAGCTCGCCGAGGTGAAGGTCGTTCGGTAAGTCCCGCCCTGCTCTCACGCAATCTGGTTCCCGCACGTCTCTTTTTCTCTGGCCACTCGACTGGATGGCGAGTACAAGGCCAACATCGCTGCTTCGTCGCACGCGCCTGTACTTCAGTAGCCTTCCTGAGCCCAGGCGCTGGCACATCATCTAGTAGTTGCTGATAAGAGAGCATCCGTTCAGCAATGGTGACAGCCAAACTGGGACCTGGTTTTATCCTGGTGGCAACAAGATGCCTCGATGTGGTGCTGTTAATTTCTGCACCTGCGCAGGTAGCGGATGGTAGGGATGCAGCCGCTGATACTTGGGAAGATGCTGGGGTGCGGGAAGCAATTGGGATAGAGAAGGGCAATGAATGATGGCACAAGCAGCTACACGCAGGACAACGGAGCATTGGCATCATGCGCGGACGCAGGAATGAAACTACTGATGATGATTATGATTATGATTATGATTCGGATTCTGATTCTGATTGTGATTATGATTATCATTATGAAGGTGATGTTGTCATGATGGTGGTGATGACGATGACACTAACGAGATGGCGAAACACATTGCGGAAATGTGAATAGAGAGTCCCGCGACGCACCCCTATCCCGTCCCCACTTCCCCAAGCCTGTCCCATCCGCTTCTTCCTGTCAGCTTCCATCCCATCCCTAACTCCCCGAGCAATGGCTGCCAATGCCAGCTGAGGACTGTGCGCCTTCTGCCACCACGGGATGCGGCACACATCAATCACGGCCCGTGTCATCTGGTCTTCGCATGCGGCGCATATTGCGAGAGATGAGGTATCTGAACCACGGCTGGCAACTGTGGAGACGACAGGATGACCAACGACGGCGATCAGAAGGCGATGTGCGGTGACGTCCACCTCGTGAATGCCCACAGCGCACGCGCCGCATGCCACCACGACCCTGACACAGGAAAACGTACTGCGATTGTCCACAACTCAGCCCCAGCGGCGGCCGTAGACTCAGAGACAACCGATTCTCTACGATACGCGACTGTCGCAGATCAGACTGGGAAGCCGAACGCATGCACCACCGAGACACTGCAGGAAGTGAACAGTTGTATCCCAGCTTTGGGGCGCCACGAGGGCAGACGGAACGAGGAAAACACAACAAGCGGGATGGAAACCGACCAGAGACGGCAACTCTCGTCACGCAAAGGCTTCAACAACCAAATTACGTACTTGAAACGTGTAGCCGTCGTTTGAAAACTGTATTGCACCAAACGTCGCGTCCGGCGCAGGCGATAGACCAAAGAGCGTGTCATTGCAAGTCCGGCCCACGAGTTCGCGCGAAATCGTAAGATTGCTCCGCGTGGGCCAAAATACTTACACCAACATAAGTCGCATGACGGCAACTACCAGGAAGCTGGAAACACATGAAATCTGGAGGGTACGCGCTAAATACATGATGATGCCGAAGGCCGTGGTACTGACCACGGCAATACGGAGGTCGAGAAGCGGCCACAGCCCCATGCACGTGGGCGCCAGACGGCGCAAAAAGTCCTACCCCTCCTCGTTCCTCTATTCCCCCCCTTCTTGTTCTGGATCCTTCCCCGAAGCCCAGAAACAACCATTGGAGGCCGCAGCTGGGGAACACGGAACGGCAAGGCCAGAAACAAACAAATCCGAGGTCTAAGTCCCCCTCCTCCCTCCTCCGCCTCAATTCCTTTTCCTTATAAATAATTTCTCCCTGTCGCACCCCAAGGCCAATTTCACATATGGAGGGCGGGTGGTTGTCAAACTGTGGCTCTCCACTTAGCGCGGCGCGCATTCGTTTGAAACATTTGCTAGGGTTTCACGGATTGAGGGCGGTTCCTTTTCAAACTGTGGCTCTCGCCTTAACGCGGCGCGCTTTCGTTGTAAACATTTGCTAGAGCTTCACGGATTGAGGACGGCTCCTTTTCAAAATGTGGCTCTCGCCTTCAGCGCCGCGCACATTCGTTGTAAACATTTGCAAAGAGTTTCGCTGATTGAAGGCGGGTGGTTTTTGAAAATGTGGCTCTCGCACTAGCGCGGCGCACTTTCGTTTTAGAAATTTGCAAGAACTTCACGGATTGAGGGCGGCTCCTTTTCAAAATGTGGCTCTCGCCTTGGCGCCGCGCACATTCGTTTACTACATCGGCAAGAGCTTCGCGGATTCTCATCATCAACGTACCAGGGACGGCGTTTAGAAAGGATTCAGGATTACGCGGGTGCAGCGGTTATGTTGATTCGCTGAATTGAAACCCCAGAAATGGCGTTCTGGCACGAGTCAGGATCGTCAAGACGCAGCAGTCAGGTTCATCCGTGGCGATGGGATCCCGAAAACAATGCTGTGGCCTGCTTCAGGGTCTTCGAACGGTTGTCTTCCAACGAGGCATTTCCCTAATTGGAAATGAACCGTTGTAGGAGTCTATGAAGAGGGAGCTTGTAAGAAAGATTTATTCCAACATCGTTGATGACTCTTGGGTTTGTACTGGTCCCTCCTCCTCCTCCTCTTCTTCTTCCTCCTACTCCTCCTCGATCCCTTGCCTGGGCCGTGCTAAGTCCCGTGATTTTGACCCGGACGCTGATGTACTTATCATGGCATTCCCACGGCATTCCTCGATCCCCGCCCTCAACAACCCTCCCGACGGTCCTGAACCCTGCAGAATTCCGAACCTCGGGAGGCCCTCACAAAAGATCCCTAAAGTCACCCGGAGCTTTGACATCGTCGCGCAGGAACTGCAGCATGACAGAAAAACGTTCGGCCAAAACCCTGGACCCAATCTTGATCCGTGAAGGTCCTAGGGTCCGGGAAATCCGTCGAGCCGGATCGATCCGTGAGGGCTCCGGGGCCCCCCGAATAGAGAAAGAAGAAAACACATTAACATAAACTTTCGACGGTCCGCACGGATGTCGTGGATTTGCGCTGGCCCCCCCCCTCTCTGGCGCGCGGAGCACGCCAGGGGCGGCGCCGGAGGCGCCGCCAGGGGGCCCCTAGCGCAGATCCAAGGAATCCGCGCGGAGCGTCGAAAGTTCATGTTTATGTCTTTGTTGTTGTTGTTGTTGTTGTTGTTGTTGTTGTTGTTGTTGTTGTTGTTGTTGTTGTTGTTGTTGTTGTTGTCTTCTTCGGCCGAAGCAAGTGCGGGGAGGGACGCCAAGACGGGGGGGGGGGGAGGAGGGGGAGATGAGGAGGAGGAGGAGGAGGAGGAGTGAGGAGGAGGAGGAAGGAGGAGGAGGGGAGGAGGAGATTTGAAGAGGAGGGAGAAAGAGGTGGAGGAGGAGGAGAGGAGGTGGAGGGGGAGAGGCCTCCCTGCCCATGGGTGGGCTCCTGAGGACTCGCGGGCAGACGCTCGCAACCCCCTGACCACAGTCCCAGGAGTGAGGGGGGGGGGGAGGAAGAGGAGGAGGAGGAGGAGGAGGAGGAGGAGGCGGAGGAGGTGGAGGAGGAGGAGGGGGAAGGAGGAGAAAAGCGGAGGGGAGGGAGGAAGGGAAGGAGGAGAGGAAAGCGGTGGAGGAGGAGGAGGAGGGGGGGGGGGGGGAGGAGGAGGAGGAGGAAGATGAGGAGGTAGGAGGAGGAGGAGGAGAGGAGGAGGTGGAGGAGGAGGAGGTGGAGGAGGAGAGGCCTCCCTGCCCATGTGGGCCCCTGAAGGACTCGCGCGCGCGTGCTGCGCGCCGGGCCCGCGGTCTCCCGGCCCCTCCACGACAGCGCGTTCTGGCTGCGCATGGAGGGGGTGGAGCTGGGGGCGGCGCGGCGCGTGCTGTCCCCCCCTCCTCCTCTCCTCCTCCTCCTCCTCCTCCTCCTCCTCCTCCTCCCTCCTCCTCCTCCTCCTCCTCCTCCTCCTCCTCCTCTGCGCGTGGCTGGAAAGGGCGGGCGGCAGGACGGGCAGGGGGAGAGGGCGAGGCGGGGCGGGGCGGCGGCACGAGGTTCGAGTGTAGGGGATCGACTGCAGGATTCATGCAAACCCCGAGACTTGAAATTTCCCCCGAATCTACTCACACGGGACGCTCCGAAGATCTGCGGAGCACTCTGCGCAGGTTTCGTAGGCTCGGGTGCAAAAGCAAGTTTGGGGTCGATCAATCCTGTAATCGATCTCCTACTCGAGAGGTGGCTGGAAATGCTGGGCGGGAACGGGGTGTACGGTCAGGACTTGTACTCAGCGTGTCCCGGCGGCGGCCCTTGCGAGGTGTATGCCTTGCAACCGATAGCGTGTCGGTGTGCTTCGTGCGGCGGGAGGCTGGCGGGAAAGCTCGGAATGTTGATGCTTGGGTGATGGGACGTGCTCAGCGTGCCGGGTCGAAGCGTGGACCAGAACGGGCGGAGCGGCACGCTAAGCAAACCTTGCTGACCGCATGGAGGGAGAATTCGGTGAATATACAGTGCCGAGGTCTGGCGAGACCCGGATCCCAACAGTCACTCCAAGCACCCCGTCCACTCCATCCCAAAATGGCGAAGCAGCGGCGCGGCGGGACCTTCTGTTCTTCCAGCCTGTGGGGTGCGAGATGCGAGGTTTGACGTTTTTGGCTGGTTCTTTATCCCTTGGACCTCCGAAGGCCCCTCGAGCCCTCCATGGAAACTCTCGGAACCTCTGGTAACCTTCAGGGACCTTCTTTTTTTCCTCCACCCCCCGTCCCCTCAAATCCTTCGTTGAGAAGACCGCGACGGTCGGCTACCCCTCAGTTGAGGCTCCGCAAGGACTGTCAAACTCACTGGGGATGATCAACCAGTATCCCAGGTGGGGCCGAGAGGTCCGAGCGCCCACCTCACAAAAAAGCAGTGATATTGGATGTGACTGTCCTCCTCCTTCGCCCTTCACCGACCTCATCCTCCTCAGGCTCAGTTTGGTGGCGCTTCAGTTCCTTCTGGGCGCGGCCACGAGCGTCCCTCTACACATACTCCTCCTTCTGTTCCCCTCTCATCATCGCCGGTCTCCTCCACGTCCTCCTACACTGCTTCCCATTCCCATGCTGATCACCCTCCGCCGACTGCTCCTCCCCTCTCCTGCTCCTCTTGATGCCTATGCTACCTGCTATCTGGTACTGCTCCTCGTCCTTCTCCTCTCTCTCCCCCTCCTCCTCCTCCTCCTCCTCCTCCTCCTCCTCCTCCTCCTCCTCCTCATCCTCCTTCTCCCTCTTCCCCCCGTCCCCCTGCTCCTCATGGTCCTCCTCTCCTCCTCCGTATCCTGGTTCTCTCCTCCTCCCCCTCCCCCTCCTCCTCCTCCTCCTCCTCCTCCTCCTCCTCCTCCTCCTCCTCCTCCTCCTCGTCCTCTCCGTTCCGCTCCTTCTCATCATCATCATCCCCTCCTGTGAATCGCCGCTGGGCGAGGGATCGAACGAAGGAGCATGAGGGAGCGCAGAGGGCAAGACTCCCGCCTCGCTCGGGGACGTCGGAACAACCAGAGAGGGTGGCAGCTGACGAAACGGTCCCTCCTCGCCCTCCCTCCCCCACCTCCCTCCTCCTCTCCCCTCCTCCTCCTCCTCCTTCCTCCTCCTCCTCCTCATCCTCTCTCTCCTCCTCCTCCTCCTCCTCCTCCTCTCCTCCGCCTCCTCCTCCTCCTCCTCCTCCTCCTCCTCCTCCTCCTCCTCCTCCTCCTCCTCCTCCTCCTCACTCCTCCTCCTCCTCCTCCTCCTCCTCCCTCGGCCCCTCCCTCTCTCCTCCGCGTCCCCCTCCTGCGCGTTCCTCGCGCCTACTGCTCGTGCCGTGCTGGCTAGCCAGGGCCCTTGCAGAGGCCTGGTGCACCAGCAACCTCATCCCTCCTGGAGCGAGCGAGGGAGCAGAAGCCGAGAGGCAGAGGCAGCGGGGTTTGTCCCGCCCGCGGGCAAGACGCTCGCAACCCCCTGACCCACAGTCCCAGGAGTGAGGGGGGGGAGGAGGAGGAGGAGGAGGAGGAGGAGGAGGAGGAGGAGGAGGAGGAGGAGGAGGAGGAGGAGGAGGAGGAGGAGGAGGAGAGGATGGCAATGATAAGCCAGAGGATGGAGGAGCAGAAATAGGGTTCCACGTGGGACCCCTGCATGGCGGTGGCGATAACCTCGCGAATGTCCCACGGGGCCCGCGGGCCCCATGGCCTTGAGAGCCGAGCTCGCCACTCCAGAGGCATCACGCGCGGCGCCAACCCTTTGCCCGCTTCAGGCTGAAAATGTGCCGCCTAGAGCACTGGGACTACCTGAGGGAAAATGTTCAAAGCGCCCAGGAATGGAAACCGGGGTGCGCCAACAAGTGTTCGGTCCGAGCTCACTTGAGAGCCTCGGCAGAGCCTCCGAAACACCTAGCGCGCCTGAAACATGTGCAGAACAAGCACGCGTTCCCAAAGCTGGCTGAAACTCTCTGAGGAACAAGAGGCCTGCGAACTTTGAGGCGTCCAGGTCTTCGGTACCGAAGTTAATCTGAATTTGGCCTGCGGCGGCGAGTCAGCCCAGCACGTCATCACACATCGAGGGCGGCAGGGATACATCATGGGCGGCTGTGGCCCAGGCCTTGCTCTCCTCGGCCAGCCCACCCTCGACGCGCCCACGTCCGAAACACAAACCTATTGCGCCTCCATGTGCAAATCACGCCCCCGTCAACAATGCAACGCCATGCAAAAAGACGTACCATCAAGGAGGGCGGCGGCATATAAAGTCAGTGGCGTTACGTGGTGATTTATACACCGCCACCCTCCCTTGAGGCTCAAAAACAATCCATTCGAGGGTGTCTGTGTATATTTGTTTGTGGCGGAAATGCCTGCGCAAATCCGGTTTTCTCAACCGCCCTCAACAAGCAAATAGAGCGCCAACGTTTCCTCAGAGTTCCTCATACCGTCGACCCTCCACTCGGCCACTTCTGCGAATGCGCGCGCAGCGCTTCGCAAAACGGTGCTCAATTCTCCTCGGGCGCTCTATCAGGTTCTATGGCTCCGACTTGGCCCGATCGTGAGTCTGAACCTCGCCTGCGGCGCGTGCTGGCCAGACCTTCGAGGCGGATCAAGACCTGGCGTCGAGAGCGCCACCCGGACAGGCCCGAGACCACCCATAAGCCCCCGACCCTCGATGATAGGCAATCTCGCTTGCTTAACCTCTGCTGGCAACTAAGCGCAATTGGGGCCGACAGGCCTCGCCAGAACCAATGTTAGAGCAATGAGGGTCCCCGCGGCGGATTGTTGTTGTTGTCGTTGTTGTCGTCGTGGTTGTTGTTGTCGAATGTTCACATGCTACTAGAGATCAATTATTGTTGATGGCCCCCCTCCAACAAAACGTGCATGTTTCGATTGAAGTGCCCCTCCCGGGGCTCGCACCCCGTCTTCACTCGGGAAAACCTTGAGGCTCAGATTGGGCCCCTGGTCCCCGACTTACACCAACAACGGCTCCCACCTCATACCTCACAATGTATTTCAAAATCGCGCTCCCGCGAGGAATTTCCTCACAATAATTGCAGGCATCGCGCTGTCGCGTGGGTCTTCCTCGCAATTGATTTAAACGTCGCGCCTTCGACAATCAGGAATCACGCTCTTGTTTTGGCCCCTCTCGCGATTTACTTGGGAACCGCGCTATCGCCCGAGACTTCCTGGCGATGCATGCAGGATCACGCTTCAGCAACCCGCCTGCTCGACCTGGCCGCCTGGGCCCGCCTTCCCGACCCGCCCGACAGGGTCTGCCGGCCCGATCTGCCCGTGTGGTCTACCATGTACTTTCTGCTCCTAGCCCCCCTCCTGCTAATCTCTCTCGTGCTCCATCCTTGCCCCTCCCCCTTCCATCCGTCCTCTCTTCCCCTTTTTGTTCAGGGCCCGCGCTACTTGCACGCGACAAATAAAGAAGATATGCCCCAAAGGTGGTACGATCGAAGACGAAGAGGGCGGGTACCAAGGGTTTGGGACATACGTGGTGAATGGCACGCGAGCGTATAGGAGCGAACAGACTTATGTTGCTACCACTGCTGTTGCTCGAGACTTCCTCGCGATTCATACAAGATTCACGCTTCAGCAACTCGCCTGCTCGACCTGGCCGCCTGGGCCCGCCTTCCTCACCCGCCCGCCAAGGTCTGCCCGCCCGGTCTGCCCGTGTGGTTGTACCGAGTGTTTTCTGCTCCGAACGCCCCTCCTGCTAATCTCTCTCGTGCTCCATCCTTGTCCCTCCCCCTTCCATCCGTCCTCTCTTCCCCTGTTATAGATACTGCGCTAAATACGCGTGGCAGGTAAGTAAAGTATGCTCCCAAGAGGGGCACGATAAAAGACGAAGAGGGCGGGTACAGAGGGTTTAGGATATACGTGGTCACTGGCACGCGGGCAGATAGGAGCGAACAATCTTAAGCTGATTGTTGTTGTTGCTGCTGTTGATGATGATGTTGTTGTTGTTGCGTTGTTTAAATTCGTCGTCCCACCCGCGACCCCGCCCGCGACCCACCCGCGACCCACCCGCGACCCATCCGCGACCCACCCGCGATCCGGTCCGCGACCCACCCGCGACACACCCGCGACCCACCCGCGACCCACCCGCCACCGACCCGCGACCCTCCCGCGCGACCCACCCGAGACCCGACCCGCGACCGATCCGCGACCCACCCGCGACCCAGCCCGCGACCCACCCACGACCCACCCGAGACCCACCCACATTGCTTTAACGAAAACATCGGCACCTGCGGCGGGCTCGTGGCATAACTCGCAAGAGTTAGGCGCCTGCCGCAGGCTTCTTCAGAACCTCGCACACTGCCGACGTCCCCGCCGCCCCCTCACTCTTATCCGCTCACTCTTATCCGAGACTGCGGGGTGCTACGTAAGATGACGACTGGTGAAACAATGTCGGGGGGACGATTAACACGACAACTTCCGAATCTTCGGCTGCCGCTGCGCTTCGAATCCGTCTGGCCCGCCGACCGTCCAGGCGCGCGCCCGAGGAGGGCAGGGGAGAACGATCAGACCGGTGGTGTCCCAGCCCAGGACCGGTTTTCCTGAGCATCAGCCCGGGCGCCGCCGCGCGAATACGACCCCTGGCAATCTCTTGATCGCCATCCTTGTAGAGAGGCCTCCTGGATGGGGTGGAGGAGGGCAGGGGAGAACGATCCAACCGGTGGTGCCCCAGCCCAGGACTGGTTCTTCTGAGCATCAACCCGGGCGCCGCCGCGTGAATACGACCCCTGGCAATTTTCTCGATCGCCATCCTTGGTAGAGGCCTCCTATAGATGGGGTCGGAGTAGATGGGGTCCGAGGACCGCATCGCACCGCCGATGCATCGGCGAGGCATCGGTGCACCGGCGAGGCACCGAGGAGGAGGAGGAGGAGGAGGAGGAGGAGGAGGAGGAGGAGGAGGAGGAGGGAGGAGGAGGAGGAGGAGGAGGAGGAGGAGGAGGAGGAGCACCGGCGATGCGCCGGCGACGCCTCGGCGACGCCGGCGCGGAGAGAGAGCCGGGCTCCACGGCGAGCCGCGCCGCCGAGGCGTCGGCGCCGCGGAGCGGCCCTCCGACCCCATCTGCCAGCGAGCCCTCGGGCCGAGAGGGCCCAGGGCGGCCTGAGCGCCACCTGCTCCAAGAGCGAAGGATTGCAACAAAAAAACGAAGGATTGCAAAAAAAAAAAACCCAAACGAAGGGTTTTTGTTTGCAATCCTTCGGGCTTTTTTTTGCAATCCTTCGGTGTTTTTTGCAATCCTTCGGGTTTTTTTTTTTGCAATCCTTCGTTTTTTTTGCAATCCAGCGGCACCACTGCGGCACTCGCTCTCCTCGGGCCCCACGGGGCCTCGAGGGGGCCCTTCGCGGGGAGGGCGCGGAGCACCACCGCGCAGGGGCCGGGCCCGAGGGTGAGGCCTCCGCGGTAACCCCAAGAGCCCTCGGACATCCACCGATCTGATGTTGAAGAAACCGCTCGGGCGGGCGGTAACGGGGAGGGACCTTACTGGGGGGGGGGGGGGGAGAGAAAAGGACCCGAAATGGACCCTTTAGGGCATCCCTTGGAGCCAGCTGGGGCCCTGAAGGGGCCCTAAAGGGCCCCTTCAGGGCCTTCCTCTTCACCCCCCAATCGGGCCACCCCCCATTGCCATCCGCCCGAGCGGCACCAGGGATCCCGACCGCTTCCCTGGGGCCAAGTCTTCGCCCCGGATCCGTTTCTTGCGAGGCGGGGATCTCTTCATAGCCACCGCCTGTGGAAGCGACGTCCTGGGGATCCCAGTGGGCTGCGGACATGGATATATGCTGGCCTCGTGGGGCCCGCACATATCCATACCCACCGCCCGCCGAGGTCCCCACAGGTCGATCACCCAATTAGTGCTTCTGGATTAATGCCCGCCTCGGATTTCTGATGGCCCTGGAGCCCGATAACGGAATCCAGGGGCCGAAATCAACACGGCCAGATTGAAACGATGCGCTGGCAAGGCACCCTGACAGCAGCAAAGGTGAAGAGGCGGGACAAGGGCAAGGGCAAAAGCAGGCGGGACTGGGTGAGAACACGGCCATGGGCGCCGTCCTATTCTCGGCAATGGACCGTGACCGTCCGGACCAGCCACATAGCCCGCATTGAGGTGAGAGCATGGCCATGTGCACCTACGAGCGTCTTTTGCAAATGCGTCGTGGCCGTCGCCCTGAGGCGAGAGCCCGACCCCTCCACACACTGGAAGGAGATCTCGGGCGAAGCCAGACGGGGCGTGCTCGGGCTCCCAGTCCCACCTGTGACTCTTCTGCCAGGAGAGAGGCCACATGCGAGCCCTACCCCGCCACGCCACGATCTTTCGGATGCGGGAGGTGGGGCTCGCTTCGCTCGGGAGGTCCCGAGCAAAGTGAACCCCACCTCCCCCCTCAGAAACCAAAAGGGGGGGGGGTCGGGATGGGGCTCGCATGTGGCCTCCTATCTGCGGCCTCCTCCCCTGCATCCCTTGGAGCCTTCCAGCGAAGCGCTTCTAAAGTAGGCAAGCGCGCTCCACTAGTCGCGAAGCCACTGCTCGCAGATGGCCTGGATCCGCCGTGGGGGATTCACGATCTATCTATATAACTGCAATGCTATAATTGTAAATATACGCAAATACAAGACTGCAGTGGCGCTTCGCGCTAAGCACCTTGGTCCTTGAAGTTTGGTATGCAGGCGGAATATCAGGAAGGTCAAGCCGACAATTTAGCGATAACTCCTTGTTGCTTTTTCTGGCATCGCCGATATAATAATGTTATTCATTGTCCTTCCTCCATGCTTCTTTCCCTCATGTTCGCCATACCCTGCGCATTATCCCCGTCCTCCTCAGCTCTTTTTTGCGGAGGCTCCTCCTTGGAGAGCCTCTGGGGGCCTCACAAAAGTTGTCTCAAGCTTTCTTAAGGCCTTCTGGAGGCCTCCTGGGCGTATTCTGGGGGCCTCTGGGGGCTTCCTCGGGCCACCCTGCCTCCAACCGCGGTCTCCCTGAACGACCGGGTCACGATTTGGAATGCTTCGGAGGGTGTCTTGGGGCCATCTTGGGCCGTCATGGGGTTCTCTGAGGGCCATATTGGACCTGTGTTGTGCAGTTCTGGGGCTCTCTTGGACTGCCTGGAAGCCCTTTCGGACGCCCAGAGGACCGCTGTCTTGGAGAGTCGGGAAGCCGAAAAGAGGAGAACCCCAAAATTCACCAAAAACCATAAGAAAATCCATGATTTGTGCCTCTTGGGGCATTCTTGTGAGTGCTCTTGGAAGCCTAGTTGGTGCCGTCCTGGAGGCCTCTCGGGCCATCTTGAGGTCACGTCGGTCACTCTTGGAGCGCTCTTGTGCTGTCCGGGGGTTCTCTGGGACGTCTCCGATGACCCCCCTGATCGCCCTAGGTGCGCTGGGAAGGCTTGGCAAAACGCCCTGCGAGGCCCGGGGGGCCGCTTCGAGGCCCGTCCGGAGGGTCCCGAAGCCCCAGATCCTGGGAGTCCGTTTTTTTTTGGGAGGGGGGGTCCGGTCCCCCCGCCCAGGCTGATAAAAATATAGGAAGAGGAATATATATATATATATATATATATATATATATATATATATTGATATTGACATATAATTATATATATATATGTCTGTCTGTCTATCTACCTACCTATCAATATATCTATCGATATGTCTATCTGTCTATCTGTCTATATATCTCTATATATATCTACCTATCTATATATCTATATATCTATATATCGATGTATATATATATATATATATATATCTAACTATCTATATCTATACATATATATCTGTATATGTATATTCCTCTCTCTATGTATATATATATATATGCATCTCTCTATGTATCTATCTATATATATGCCTATATATATACCTATATATATATATATATATATATATGTATCTAGCTATGTATATATACATATATATCTTTCCATCTATCTATAAGTGTATCTCTAAATACATATATAGCTATGTATATATCCATCTATATATCTATATAGCTATATTTATCTATATAGTTATACCTATATTTATATATAACTATATATATATATCTGTCTATATATATATATCTATATATCTATCTATCTATCTATCTATCTATATATCTATCTATCTATCTATCTATATATCTATCTATCTATCTATCTATATATCTATCTATCTATCTATCTATCTATCTATCTATCTATCTATAGAGAGAGAGAGAGATTACATCGAGGCGAGCGTGAGTTCTTGACGGACGATTGCGAGTAGGCACTCTGCGAGTCGTGGGACGCGCTCGGCGGTGCAGGGAACATCCTGCCGTCGGACGCCCGGGCCGGACGGCCCCGCGGGCCCGCGGAGCCCGAGGGGGCCCGGGGAGGCGCCGCGCGCGAGGCGCCGCGGCGCCTGCTCCGGAAGAAGGGGTACAGGCGCCCGCTGGCGCCCGCCTGCGGAGAGGCGCTCTCGCCCTCGTCTCGTCGGCGTCGCCCTCGCGCCGGGCGTCGTCGGCGTCGTCGGCATCGTCGGCAGCATCGTCGGCGTCGCCGGCGGCGGCGTCGTCGGCGTGGTCGGCGGCGGGGATCGAGGCTCGTCGACGGCGTTCTCGTCCTCGTCGTCGGCGTCGGCGTCGGTCGGCGTCGTCCTCGTCGTCGGCGTCGCTGGCGTCGGCGGCTGCGTCGTCGGCATCTTCGTGCTCGTCGTCGTCGAAGATTGAAGATCGTGGGTCGAGACATGTTTGGGACGTCGTTAGCCTTTGCTTGGGCCTTCGGAGACCTCCGACGGCGTCAAGAAATGAGCAAATAGTCTTTGGTGGCGAGGAGCATCGGAAGGGCATATACAGACGGCGAGTACACACAGCTGTACACAGCGACCCGACCTCCCAGAAGCCCGAAAACGTCAAAACCACTCGGCGGATAAAGCGCCTGGGAGGGAAGGAGACGGCCCCAAGGATGGAGGTCGAGACTCCCACTTGCGGGTTCCTGGAGCCTCCGTCACGGCTTGCCCACCCGACGCCGGACGGTGGTGCCCCGCGCAAGAGGGGCGGTGGCACTGCACTTCGCCACGGCGCTCAGTCTGCCCCCCCCCCCCCCCAGGGCGGACGCCGCGGGGACCCCTGCTGCGCTGGGGCTCTGGGCCGACAGGCGAGCAGCACGGGCGGGGGCGGCGGCCAGGGTCTGCCTCGTCGGCGGTCTGGGCTCCTGCGGCCCTGGCCCGCCCGGCGAGCCTCCTGCCCGCCTGGGGCGCCCAGCAGGGGCGCGCGCTCCCCGGGGAGCGGCAGCCCAGGCGCCGGCGGCGGCTTGCTCACGGGGGCCTCACCTGCCACGGGGCCGCCCCCGCCGTTCCTGGGACGCGCGACAACCAGCTGCATGCCGCTGCGTGCCCGAGCTCTCGGAGGCGTGCACGTCCGAGCCGAGCGCCTGGTGGGCCCGCCAGGTTGCCACGACTGTCCCGGCGGCGCACACCTTGAATCACTTTGCCTTCGAGGGTATCGTGCCTTCGTCGGAATCCACGACTGCGTTTTTGTTCTCGATTCGCTCCGAACAAGTATGCCCGCGATGGTCTGCCGCTCCGCATTGGTAGGGTCGCATCCCACTTGTCCTGCAGGTCAGACCGTGTGAGGCGCCTCGTGGAAACACCGGGCCCCACACCCGCCACCAGGTGCCAAAATCACAACGGGACCTCTCGGCCCTAACTCGCTGTAGACTCCAGGCCGAATGTTTCGAGACAGATGTGTGTTTCATACACGCCGTTCATTTCTAATCGTGCTCATTTCTAATTGTGCTCATTTCTAAGTGTTCCTGGCCCCCTAGTGGCCAGGAAGAGGCCCAGGATAGAACAATTAGAAATGAAAGGATCTTGGCCCCACAAAATTCAAAGAACTTCCGAAATATTCAAAATGAACAACGTCTATGTTTGACTGCTCGAAAGAGATTGATCCACGAGAGGCCAAGGGCTGGAGACGTGGCAGAAGCGCCTGTGGCGGCAGAGGAGCCTCCAGAATGAAAGTCGTACCCTTTCACTGTTTGAAATCATGGGGCGCGTTTGGAAGGCCTCTCCTCTTCGGACAGAAATCGAAAACGCAACCTCGGACAGCTGTAAGCAAAAAACACCCGAAAACACCTCTGGGAAACACACACAAGGAAGAACATGCGAAACCAACTAAAGCCGCAAAACCACCGAAGACAACCAGGGACACCACCGATGGTGGAGGACCAACAATCGGCGGCGAGCGGGGGGGAAATTGAAAAAGAGAAGGCCTTCTCAGAAAGCGGCGGGACTTCTCAGAAGCCCTCCGGCCTTCTGAGAAGTTTTCAGTGTCTTCGGGGAACGCTCAGAAAACTTCTCAGAAGGCCAATGAACTTCCGAGCCCTCTGAGGAACCCCGCCCCCCCCCTCGCTTCCCCCCCCCCGGGGCTCGCCGCCGAAACAGGGAGGCGAAGCCGAGACAGCCGGGCGACCGAGCGACAAGCACCGAACAGTGGCCGCACGCACGAGGACGTGGCGCGACCGTTCTTGTACTGGGGTGTGTGGCCACGGCGGGGCAAGAGTAGGGGACCGCGTGCGAAGCCTACCCCCACCCCCCACGATTTCTGAGGGGGAGGGTGCGGTTCACTTCGCTCGGGAGCTCCGAAACGAAGTGAACCCCACCTCCTCCCTCTCCTCCTCCTCCTCCCCCCTCCTCCCCCTCCCTCCTCTCCCCCTCCTCCCTCCTCCCCCTCCTCCCTCCTCCCCCTCCTCCCTCCTCCCCCTCCCCTTCCTGGCCCCCTGAAGAGTGCGGCGACGGGCCTCGCGGAGCGAAGTCAATACCCGCGGGCCCCGCCGTCGAACAGCGTGCCCCGTGGGGGCGGGCGCCTCTGTACGCCCAAGAGGGGCGACTCGGCCTGCGACCACCTCGCCACTCGGGGAGAGCCTCCAGCAACCAGCCTCGAACGCATCCCTATCCCTGAGACTGACACGCCAAAAGGCGATGACAGTCTTAGGGATGCACCCTCAGAAACGAGGCGATGCCCAACATAGGGGCAGGGATAGGTTCCAGGCCGGCAATCCAGGTCCCCAAGCTTGATGCTCAGGGCGGAGGCTCCAAACGGCGTCGGGGCGGTGGGCCCCGAGCCGAGAGGAACTTCGCCCCAATACGAGGATGTGGCGCGACCCGGGGGCGAGGTCCCAAGGGGGCGGGGGCCTTCCACGCCGGCCAAGGGGGGTTCTTAGAAGCCCGCCAAGCTTCCAGAAACCGTTTGATGGAAAGACAGCTACAGTTAGGTCGGGCATGTCTTCCTACAGGCGGATTTCCGAAGACAAATCACACATAGTCGAATACTGATCAAAAGTAGTCAACAGAGCACGACAAATCGTCACCATACATATTTTAACAATTCTTGAACATTCCTCCTGTAGAGGGGCATGCCCGATTTAAAACTACAGTCAACCCGTATGATACGGACGCGCGATAAGGGTGCAAGGGCCTTGGAAGTCTATGTCGACACTCAGCGAGTTGGGCGCGGCCAGCGAAAGCAGCCGGGGATGGGCCGAAGGGGAAGGATGCAAAGGTAATCTCGGAAAGACGCTCACCCTTGCCATGCAGGTTGGCTGTACCGTCTAGGGCGGGAAGGGGTTGGACAGATTTTCTGAAAGAGGCAGAAGAAGGAGGTAGACGAATTGGGAACGACCGCGACATCTCTCGAGAAGCCCGTGCGCTCCGTGGCGGTACGCGGCAGACCTGACCAGCGGCTTTAGGAAGGGGCTGGGAAGATACAGGGCACGAATGCGCAACGAGCACCTTCAATCGGGGGCGGCCAAGA